TGCCACTGAGCCACGGACCCTCCCCAAAGGCATTCTGTGCCTTGATTCTCGGTGCTCTCAGAGCTGCCATCATGACAGAGATTCCATTCCTTATGCATTGTGCCCCAGTCCCAAGATTTCTCAAGATGAATTTGATTCAGGTGGGTAGCCGTGTTGGTCTGAAGCGGCAGAGCAAACTTTGAGTCCGGTCGCACCTCTAAGACCAACAATTTTTTATTCTGGGTGTAAGCTTTTGTCTGCATGCACGCTTCTTCAGATGGTATTTGTTAGATCAGGGAGACGATAGGGGAAGGGGAGAGTGAAACCTCTCCTTCCAACAAAGCAGTAGCCCAAACCTTATTCTTCCCCTGCAGTTTCCTTTTAAGGTCATAAGAACATAAGAGAAGCCAGTGTTGGATCAGGCCAATGGCCCATCAAGTCCAACACTCTGAGTCACACAGTGGCCAAAAATACCAGGTGCCCTCAGGAGGTCCAGCAGTGGGGCCAGGAAACCAGAAGCCCTCCCACTGTTGACCCCCCCCCAAGCACCAAGAAGACAGAGCATCCCTTGCCCCAGAGTCCCTATCTATACCTTGTGGCTAATAGCCACTGATGGACCTCTGCTCCGTATGCTTATCTAATTCCCTTTTGAAGCCGCCCATGCTTGTAGCCGCCACCACTTCCTGTGGCAGTGAATTCCAAGTGTTCATCACTCTTTGGGTGAAGAAGTACTTCCTCTTATCCGTTCTAACCCGACCGCTCAGCCGTTTCATTGAGTGCCCACGAGTTCTTGTATTGTGAGAAAGGGAGAAAAGTACCTCTTTCTCCACCTGCTCTATCCCATGCATAATCTTGTAAACCTCAATCATGTCACCCCTCAGTCGTCATTTCTCCAAGCTAAAGAGCCCCAAGTGTTTTAACCTTTCTTCATGGGGAAAGTGTTCCGATCCTTTTATCATTCTAGTTGCCCTTTCCTGCACTTTCCCCAATGCTATAATATCCTTTCTATGACTTTCTACGACCACCAGAGATTCCATACTATTTCATAGTATATCTCTGGCACAGTCCCATTGGGTCATTCCTAGACTGTCCTTTCCATTGAGAATCTCTCCCAGGGTTCCTTGCAACAGAACTGGAAAACCATTGCCCCAGCCTACGTCGGGTCGTTTTGAATGACACATTGTCCTACTGTGGCCATGTGTGCGAGATGATAAGGATCATGAAGGGAGGTGCTTCAAAAATGTGTCTGGGGAAAACAGATTCAGGTGTGTAGCTGTGTCGGTCCGAAGCCACAGAACAAAATTTGAGTCCAGCGGCACCTTAAAGACCAACGGAGTTTAATTCTGGGTCAAAGCTTTCATGTGGATGCACACTTCTTCAGATACATTGAAACAGGAGAATCATAGAGTTGGAAGGGACCTCCAGGATCATGTAGTCTAACCCCCTGCACAATGCAGGAAATTCACAAATACCTCCCCCCCCCACACACACACACAGAGTGACCACTGTTCCATGCCCAGAAGATTAAGTATTTAAAGTTACAGTGTAATAATCCAGAGTGCGAATATACACACAATCAACATTTCACAAGGTAGGTACAAAAATAAGCAAATTGATGAGACGTTAACGATGATCTCCGGAATGTTCTACCGTTTCGATAATAATCTTCTTCCGAACGAAGATGAAGAGTATGCAGCGTCTGTAGTCCATGTCTCAACTGGTACATATCAATAAGTCTCACGGAAGTGTCATAACATCATTGTATAAGGTTCCAAATGATTCTTAGAAAGGCACTTTACAGCATTTTCCCTTTCTAAGAATCATTTGGAACCTTATACAATGATGTTATGACACTTCAGTGAGACTTATTGATATGTACCAGTTGAGACATTGACTACAGACACTGCATACTCTTCATCCCTCTTCAGAGTGACAAACTGAAGCTTGCCAAAGAGCTGTCGGACACGGTCGTTTACTGCAGAAGCGTCCACTTCGAAGGGTTCGACGGCTCGAATCCTCGCCCCTCCAACGAGATGTCGTCCTTCAGCGAAGGGAAAGCTCTGAAGCTGGCCCAGGAGTCTGGTAGGTACCGCGACGGGATCCCCGCTTCCCCGAGGAGTAAGACATTCCCGAGGCAGCCATTGCCAGTTTTGGAGGTTCGGGGCGATGGGCGTGACCCAGTCTTTCAGTTTATTTACTGGCATATCAGTGGAGCCAGGAGAGTGCACCTAGATGGCATAGATCTGCTACCCCAGGTGTACCCCCCTGTCTTTTTGAGCACGTGGGCTCTTTTGGAATTCTGATACAGGTTGGAATTCTGATACAGGTTGGTGGGTGCAGCCACAAAATGGCTTCTTCAGAAGAGCAAGCCCTGTGAGGAAAGGCTGAGGGACTCGGGGACATTCAGTCTGGAGAAGAGGAGGGGGAGGGGGGGGGACAGGATCAATGTCCCCTCTAAGCTGTGGAGTCTTGTGAGCAAAGATTCTACTTTGCGAGCCACTGGCATTAAAGTGGCGAGCGAGCGATTTGACTACTCCATAAATTCGTTTGCTCTGGAGCCACATCCTTCCTGAGCCGAGACGAAAACGTGTGAGCCGGAGGCTAAAAAACGGTGGGCTAGCTCACACGGACTCAGCTTAGAGGGAACATTGGACAGGATGGCTCTCTTGAAGTATCTGAAGGGCTGTCGCTTAGAGGAGGGCAGGGAGCTGTTCCTGTGGGCAGCAGAGGAGAGGACTCGCAAGAAGGGTGTTGAAATTAAGGGCGGGAAGGTATTGGCTGGATATGAAGAAAAACTACTTTGTGCAACAGTGGGATCAGCCGCCCGGGGAGGTGGTGAGCTCCCCCTCCCTGGCAGTCTTCAAGCAGCGGCTGGACCAACCCTTCTCGGGGATACTCTAGGCCAGTGATGGCGAACCTTTTAGAGACTGAGTGCCCAAACTGCGACCCAAAACCCACTTATTTATCGCAAAGTGCCAACACGGGAATTTAACCTGAATACTGAGGTTTTACTTTAGAAAAAACAACTCATACATTAACTTAAGATGATCCAAACAAAGTAAGGAAAGCAATCCCAAATGCTTTCATTTACTTAAAATTATTTGGCAGAGAATTCGACACTTTAATGATGGTCTGGGCCTGGCTGGGGCGATGGCACGTGTGCCCGCAGAGAGAGCTCTGAGTGCCACCTCTGGCACCCGTGCCATAGGTTCGCCACCACTGCTCTAGGTTGATCCTGCATTGAGCAGGGGGTGGGACTAGATGGCCTGTACGGCCCCTTCCAACCCTGGGATTCTACAATTCTGAGGCAGAGCCGCACACATGCAGAGGAAGTTCACGTGCCGGGGAGAAGGGGGGCAATTTCAAAAACACACCATGTCACAATGCGGGGCTGGGCAGGGGAGAGGCAGTCAGGATACAGTCCGAGGTCAAGAGCCAGTCAAGCAAGCCAGCTGGGAAACCAAGTCCAACACACGGAGGAAGAGTGGGGTGGTCAAGGTACTGTCCGAAGTCAAGAGCCAGGCAAGCAAACCAACCGGGAAACCAAGTTCAAAGCACAAACCGTTAGAGTCGTCAGGAAGCCAAAGTCCAAAAGAGTCAAGAGCCAGGGAGTCAAAGGCTCGAGGTGCAGGGTCTAAGCGCAGTCATTCAAGCCGAGGTCAAAGAGCCAAGGGAATCCAGACAGGAACCAGGAGTTAGGAACACGAGCGAGGAGGTGCAGAGCTTCATCCGAAAAGACTAGTTGCTGGCACGATTTGCCGGCGTAAGTGCGAGGGTTAAATAGCCCATACACCTGCTGGCAATTAGCGCACCCCAAGCAAGTCCCGGTTCCTGCTAGTACTCGGGGCTGAATGAGCACCTGCCGTGCATGCGTGCCTCTTGCCGCCGGGCTGCCATATCCCGTCGGCGCTGTTCTCTCAAACGGGATACCGGCGGAGGTGAATCAGGAGGAGAACTGTCCGGGCGTGCTTCTGCCTCAGCTGTTGCTGGGGTGGCCTCTGGAAGCTCAGCCCTGTCAGGTGCGGGAGTTTCTGGCATCGCGAGCTCATCCCCAGCAGCACTTAGATACTCTGCTGGGGCCGCTTGCTCGCATTCAGCAGACGCTCATCCCCAGTGGCACACTGCTGGGTCCACTTGCTCGCATTCAGCAGGAGCCGTGACACACCAGAAAGAAGAATGAGAGAAAATAAAACCAACCCTGCAGTGGGGGCTGCATCGTGAGCAGTGCTGTTTTATTCCACACAGCCAATCAGACCTCCGGCGGCCTGCTGGGCGAGAACCCCGTGTGGCTCCGCCTGCCTTCTAGAAGCATTTGGTGGGTGCCCGGAAAGGCGTTGCCGAGAGCCATGGCGCCTGTGGGCGCCGTGTCGGGGAAGCCTGTTCTACGCCATATCAGAGCGCCAATGGGGGTTTTAAAGGGGGTTTGAGCCGGAAAGTGACAGCTGGGGATGGTGCACAGATGTTGGGTGTGTGAATGTGGATATAAAATCCATTACTGAAGCGTGCCGTAAGCGGACTAAATGGCCCGTCTGAACACACCCACTGTGTCATTTCTAAACTCAAACTACAGACTGCTATTTGTCCACATCTACTACCCCACCCCACTCCCTTAGATGGGTGTGGGAATCTCACTTGGACAAGACGGTTGTCTTTAGCTCAGTTCTGGAACACTAAAGAAACATCTGCTTACGATTAGGGCATGAAAGTGAGGTCCTACAGTGATATGTAGAGGTATATTACCTCTGAACATGGAGGCTTTATATAACAATCATGGCTAATAGCAGTGCTTAAATGAATTTGTCTAATTCTTTTAAAAACGGTATTAAAGCTAGTGGTTGTCACCGCAGCTTGGGCTGTTCTGCATTCTCATTTTTTGTCGCTTGTGTGTCCCTATCCGTTTGAGTTCTTTTTTTTCTTTTTCACATATTTGGAATAGCGGTTAGGAGCGTGGACTCTAATCTGGGAGAACCGGGTTTGATTCCCATCTCCTCCACATGTAGCTGCTGGTGTGACTTTGGGTCAGTCACAAGTTCTCTCAGAGCTGCCCTCTTAAGGGCAGTTCTCAAAAGAGCTCTCTCAGCCCCGCCTACCTCACAGGGTGACTGTTGTGGGGAGGGAAAGGGAAGGAGATTGTAAGCTGCTCTGAGACGCCTTCAGGTAGTGAAGGGCGGGGTATAAATCCGATCTCTTCTTCTTCTACATGTGTTTTTCTCCCTCTAGTGGTTGATTAGATATTACATCGCTGCACATCCACAATATCTCCCTGCACTTTAAGTCTGCAGGGAGAGATGCTGGACATGCAGAGATGAAATATCGAACCGACCACTAGAGGGAGCAAAGTGGGTGCAGAGAAGAAAAAACACACACACCCAAAGCAATAGGGATTCACCAGTGATGAAAATGTGGAAGGACACCCTTTTGGCAGTGAATTCCGTAGGCCAGGTTTGTTGGGAAGATGTCTTCTTCTTCTTTGGTCTCTCCTGAGCCTGTTCTATTTAGTTGGGTGATTCCCAAATTCTAGTGACACAAGAGAAGGAGGAGAAAATGTTTCTCTTACTCACTCACTCACTCACTCGCACACACACACACACTCACACACACGCACACACACACACACCCCAAAACTGAAAAGAGAACCGTGTGTCCTTCTGTTCCTCTGTCTTCATCCTAGGAACCAGCTTCATCCGTCACAATAGCAGGCAACTAAGCCGGATCTACCCAGCGGGATGGAGGACGGATTCCTCGAACTACAATCCAGTTGACATGTGGAATGTGGGCTGCCAGATAGGTACGCAGAGAAGTCCCTTGTTAAAAGCAGCGGACGTGGTCCACGTTCAACACTTTTCAGTCCCACGGAGGTCGATAAGAGAGATTTGAGCACATTGAAAACTCTCCTGTTGAAATCCATGGGATTTAAAGTGCTTGATATTGGCTGGATCGTGCCCAGTATATGAAAATGACTAAGGTTACGGGGAGGGTTTCGGAGAATCATTCTAACGTTTTTGCTTCCCACCAAAGTGTGGGCTAGGCTGAGAAAGAGAATGGCTGATCCATCGCCAGCATTTGAACTTCGTGGCAGAACGGGGGTTTGAACCCAGAGCCAGTGTGACCAATTAACTACTACACCGCACCGGCAGTGCCTTTTTCTCTAGACGGAAAGGGTTTTGTTTGCCTTCGCATGAAGTTCTGCCTTGGCCCAAACATTAGAGATACATCTGATACTATGAGAACCAGTTTGGTGTAGTAGTTAGGAGCGCAGACTCTAATCTGGGAGAACTGGGTTTGATTCCCCCACTCCGCCACATGCAGCTGCTGGTGTGACCTTGGGTCAGTCACAAGTTCTCTCAGAGCTGTTCTCTCAGGAGCAGTTCTCAGAAAGAGCTCTCTCAGCTCCACCTACCTCACAGGGTGTCTGTTGTGGGGAGGGGAAGGGAAAGGAGATTGTAAGACGCTCTGAGACTCCTTCGGGTAGTGAAGGGCGGGGTATAAATCCAATCTTCTTCTTCTTCTTTGATACATTAATAGGGGACCTATTACAAACAATATTAATCTCAAATTGTTAAGGCATTTAGAAACAAAATGTTTCTTTTTCTCCTTCTAGTCGCCTTAAATTTTCAGACCAAGGGTACAGAAATGGACATATACCAGGGTCGATTTCAAGAAAACGGCTTCTGTGGGTACGTCCTCAAACCGGACTTTCTTCAGGACCAGAACTCTAAATTCAATCCCAGATCCATCACAGAAGGGTCGTGGAGGATGCGGAAGAAACTCCAAGTTAAGGTAGGAACGGAAGTGGGAAGCCACGAATAGGGAGGGAGGCCTGGTTTGCAGAGGATTGTGGGACAAAAGAAAATGCTCTCGTTTATCAGCTGTGGCGTGTGCACATACAGCTACGCTGGATCAGACCAGTGTTCCATGGCCCACAGGAATTTGTCATGGGAGGTTATTTTGCTTTAGTAAGAAGAATGCAGAAGGTGTGTGGTTTTCTCCCTGCAAGTTATCTGGTCGGTCAAGAGCATGGAAGTAAAAAGAGCCACAGGCTTACTCCAATCTCTAAGGTGAGAGCCAGTTTGGTGTAGTGGGTAATCTGGGAGAACCGGGTTTGATTCCCCACTCCTCCACTTGCACCTGGCTGGGTGACCTTGGGCAAGCCGTAGTTCTGATAAGAGCTGTCCTCGAAAAAGAGCTGTTTCTGTCAAGAGCTCTCTCAGCCCCACTTACCTCACAGGATGTCTGTTGTGGGGAGGGGAAGGGAAAGGAGTTTGTAAGCCACTCTGAGACACCTTTGGGTAGTGAAGGGCAGGGTATAAATCCAATCTCTTCTCCTCTTCTTCTTCTCTAAGGACAAATTCGGAGTCCAGTGGCACCTTTTAAGACCAACAAAGGTTTATCCAAGGTATGAGCTTGCATGTGCAAGGCGCACTTTTTCAAATACACTGGAATGGAAGGTAGAGTTCAAACTTATAGACAGAGACTTAACAGCAAATTTACATGTAACATGATGAAGATTTTTTAAAAGTTATACAAAAGCGAAACTAAATAACAGGCTAAGGTTGTAAGGTTAACAGTTGTCTATAAGTTTGAGCTCTCACCTTCCATTCCAGTGTATTTGAAAAAGTGCGCATGCAACATGGCTGACCACCTGGTCCAATCTCTAAGAATATGGCTGGGGTCTGACATACCTCCGGGACTGCCTTTCCCCGTATATACCCCAGAGAGCACTACGGTCTGGGTCTCAAAATCGGTTGACCCTCCCTGGCCCGAGGGAAGCTGGGCTAGCGACCATTAGGGCCGGGGCCTTTTCGGTGGCGACCCCTACCTGGTGGAACAAGCTCCTGGAGGAGACCAGGGCCCTGCGGGACCTCTCACAGTTCCACAGGGCCTGTTAGACGGAGCTCTTCCGCCAGGCATTCAATTAGGGGCCGCTGCCGTTGGACCGCCATTAGATCGCCCGACTGTTGCAGCACCTGGCCCGTGAGCCACCATCGAGTTGTTGCCTTAAGGAAACTACGAGCAGAAAAACACCTTAGAACACTGGGAAATGGAAATCCATTGAAAACGTGTCATTTAAGTGACTTTTAATTGCCGCCAGCACTTTATGCTTGTTGATTTGTAGTGTTTTTAATCATTGTGTTTTTAAGCTGTAGTTATGTCGTGTTGGAAGCCGCCCGGAGCCTGCTTTGCGGGGAGGGCGGGGTACAAATTTGATAAAGAATAAATAAATAAATATCCGGTGGGTGCACCTTGTTAAAGCTCGACACACCCCAAGTTGTGGCTCAGCGCCACCAAAGGAGAAACCCTGTAGCGGCCCACTTGGAGACTTTCAAGTCACACTGGCAATCCAAAAGCAAGATATGAACCCAGTAGTACTGGTACCAGGGCTCTTTTTGTAGAAAAAGCCCAGCAGGAACTCATTAGGCCACACCCAACAGCAGAAACTCATTAGCATATTAGGTCACACCTGGACAGTGCAGCTCATTAGCATATTAGGCCATGCCCCATTCTTTCCCTTGGCTTTAAATGCCTCCCCGATCATTCCAGGGACCCCCTGGCCCACCAGCCTCAGAATCGTCGGGGGGGGGTCACTCTCCAGGCCTTCCCTCTGTAGCCACGCGCATGCAGAGGTTTTGGCTGTAGTGGGCGTGGCCAACTCTGAAGCCAGCTGGAACTCCGTTCCTGTGCGTTCCTGCCCCAAAATAGGCCTGCTGGTAGCATCTTAGAGACCAACAAGATTTTCAGGGCGTAAGAGCCAGCGTGGTGTCGTGGTTAAGAGCAACGGACTCTAATCTGGAGAACCGGATTCGATTCCGCACTCTTCCACTTGATGCCAGCTGGGTGAGCTTGGGCCATTTGCGGCTCTTTCAGGGCTCTCCCAGCCCAGAACAATGAGTCTAGCTCGCCACCTAGTGGCGCATAACGCAAAATGAGTTAGAACTTCAGGCTGCCAGACAATCTTCGGATCTCCTGGCTATACTACACACAATGCCGTACGACAGTTAATTAATTCAGGGTATAAACTTTCTAGAATCAATGCTCTCTGTGTCAGATACCTTTGACTTTTGAAAGCTTGTACTCTGAAAGTCGTCTTGGTCTCCAGGGTCCTACTGGACTCACGCCTATCTCTTCGACTGCAGACCAACACAGCCACCCTCCCCAAACTGGGATTCCAAGTAACTGTCCCCCCCTTCCTTGCCATGTCTTCTACAGGTCATCTCCGGCCAGCAGCTGCCCAAGGTGAACAAAGGCAAAAACTCGATCGTTGACCCGAGGGTGATTGTCGAAATCCACGGCGTCCACCGGGACAATGACAAGAAACAGACCAGAGTTATCGACAACAACGGTAAGAGGGGAGGCCCAGTGATGGCTCAACGGGGGGGGGTGTATCTCAGGCTCCCCCTCACCCAATCTGACTCCAAGCCTAATTTCATGTAGTGGTTAAGAGCGCAGACTCTAATCTGGGAGAACCGGGTTTGACTCCCCACTCCTCCACATGCCTGCTGGTGTGACCTTGGGTCACTCCACCCTGCTGGTGTGACCTTGGGTCAGTCACAAGTTCTTTCAGAGCCGTTCTCTCAGGAGCAGTCCTCGAAAGAGCTCCCTCAGCCCCACCTACCTCCCAGGGTGTCTGTTGTGGGGAGGGGAAGAGAAGGAGATTGTAAACTGCTCTGAGACTCTTTCGGGAAGCGAAGGGCGGGGTATAAATCCAATCTCTTCTTCTCTTCTCTTCTCTCACTGGCCCTGCTGAGGCTCAGGGGTGAACAGCTAACATGGCTTCTCTTCTGGTTTCCTGACAAGTCTTTAAAGACAGAGCAGGAGGCTGTGTAATGGGGATTCCTGAATTCTCTCAAGATGTGAGAATTCCAGCAGCCTCAAATGGACACATGAGCCTTGGCACAGCGCTTTTATTTATTTACTTCTCTCATACCCCGACTTGCCCTCCTCCATTTTTATCCTCACAACAACCCTGTGAGGTGGATTAGGCTGTGTGACTGGTCTGTGGTCACCCAGCAAGCTTCCATTGCAGAGTGGGGGGGGTCTCCCAGGCCCCAGTCTGACGCGCTAATCACTACACCACACAAGTCTTTAGACTTATAGAACAGAATCATAGAGTTGGTGTCATGGCTCAGGTGGGCTGTCACCTGACGCTGCCACCACTCTGGTTCCAGGCTCCCTTGAGAAGGCCCAGAGCGCCCTCCCAAGACCTTCAGACCTCCCTTTAGGCCGAATAACAGGCGTGAGGACCAGGCAGAGTGAAACAAGGAAAATAGTTTATTTTATAGGAGGTCAAACAACAAGGTGCAGGAATAAAAACAGTAAGTGGGTGAAAAGAAAAGAAATCAATGCCCTAATGCGTTTGAATATATCCTGTCCCTAGCTCACTATTCCAAGTGACACTAGACTACTCACCCTGCCCTCAGGATGAGGGTTTCTCCCCTGCAGCAGCCTTCCTTCTGGCTCTGCCCTCTGGGAAGAAAGAACAGCTTCTGCTCTGGCACCAGCTCTTTTGTTCCCCAGCCCTCTTCTTCCCTATTGGTCAATTTTGGCTCCAAAACCTCCCAGGGGCTTCTGGTTGTAGGCCCAGCCTCACCTACTGCTAGCCAGGCTCCCTGGGCCTAGTAGGCCTCTGGCGGCACAGTCCAGATCATGACAGTTGGACATCTAGTCCAACCTCCTGCACAATGCAGGAAATTCACAAATGCCTCCCCGTCCACACCCCCAGTGACCCCTGTTCCACACCCAGAAGATGACAAAAAAAACCCCCAGGATCTCCAGCCAGACTGGCCTGGAAGCAGGAAGGAAGGAGCATTAGCAATTTTGCCTCTTGTGTCTGGGCAGGATATGTGGAAGGCAGGCAGTGGGGAGAAACAGGGACAGCAATAGGCTGGGGCGGAATGGTGGCTACCCCCCCCCCCCCCGGTCCGTTTCCCC